GAGGGAGGGAGGGAGGGAGGGAGGGAGGGAGGGAGGGAGGAAGGAAGGAAGGAAGGAAGGAAGGAATATTTTTGATGCTCAGTTTCACGAAGAAACTCAATGGGAAAGTTGGAAGTCACTCCTATTCCCACTGCTTTTTGGTCCATCCTTGGCTTCTCTGTTTTTCTGCCTAAATAAGGAAATATGTCTGAAATGATGACCCAACTGGTTATCTAAAAGATAATCTAAAAAAATAAAATAAAAAATGATAACACCATGACACCTTCTGCTAGGGTAAAATAAAGATAAAACACTATGTAAATCCAATGTCAAGCTTTTGAAATATGTGATAGTTTTCTCCATGACAATTTTGCCTATAATAAGTTTACTCTTCTTTTTGTTGGTCCATCTTCATGAATAATAACATTAACTTGGAACTATCTTGGAAAGTTGCTTGAAATGTCTGAATTTTATGTCTATGATTAAGATTCTGTTTTGAAAGGAAAAGGGGAGATTTAAGTCAAATGGCATTTACCTAAAGCATTTCCACATGTCTCTTGTATGAGTCTGTTCCACATTCTCCCACCTCCTTGCAGTCTTTCTGATATGTGGCAATAACACAGTAAAAAAGATACTTTATTTATGTGCTCCTTATCAAGCATCACTAGGTTTTCTATTTTTGTTCTGGCAAAGTGTTGATACACCAACTATATTTTTTCTCTTCCTTTCCTCAACTTCTCATAAGGTTTCCTGCTTCATCCTCCTATTTGTTTGCACATCAGGTCTCATTTTTCTGTGGGAAGGTTTCTGTCTGTGTGAAAAGGGTGTTATCTTTTCTGATCAGCTATGTAACAGAACAGCAAGCATGTCCTAACAGGATGAATAACAGCACCCAGCTATTGGAGTCTGTCATAATATAACTCTCCATGTATTAGATATTACTTTGTTAACATTTACAAAATGGTAACAGCTTTACAGTTGTTGCTTTTAATTTGTTCATTAGGTTTATATGTACCATCTTTTTAAAGAAACTTATATGCATTTTTCATTTTATCCTCCCAAGAAGAATTGTTTGTAGAAGGCTAAGATGAGAAGTAGTAACTGGCCCAATTGAGCTTCTCTAGCTGAGGATAGACTTCATCATAAATCTTACTCATGGAAGGAGCCAGAATACATCAATCTAATGGGTCATTGTGCCAGATGTGTTATATTGCCAGAAAGCGCTTAAGCACAGAAGTTCCCTTAGATCAGGGGTGTCAAACTCGCAGCCCGTAGGCCGGATGCATTACACGCTGGCCACACCCAGTTTAGCAAAGGGGGAAAATGTTATGATACATCACGTGACGCCACCCTGACACTGCAAGTTTGACAACCCAGCTTTAGATTCTCCTAATTTTCTGCTACAT